TTTTTTTTTTTTTTTTTTTTTTTAACAATCAACTGAAATTTTATTTACAAATCTACATATATATAATTACTGGCAAGTTTCAATAAATTTTATTCAGCCAGTAATTAATAATAATATGAGTTCATTTAATAAAAGTAGGTGTTTATTTAATAAAAATATGTTCAACATTTAATAAAATTATGTAACTTTCAGTTACACAATTTATTTTTACTGGTACTATTCTGGATGGTGCCCATTTTTATAACACTTTTTTATGTCTTGATATATAAAATATTTTTATTTTTATTTTGATACTATATATATTTTAGTATTATATAAATACATATTTTACAATTAGTTAAGAATGACTACAAATATCTCTATTTTCTATTGCAGTCATACAATAATAAAAAATTATTTTTTCAGTTATTATAAACACATAAAATATTTTGAAAAATCAAATCCTATGAAATAAAATCTCCTGCAATATATTTAAAATTTTTAACATTATATGCATAAATATAACTTATAATATTCTATGTTTTGAATTTAATACCATTATATAACTTATAATTTTAGTAGTAGCATATAAATAACTTATATTATTTTATAAGTGTGACGTAAGATGGATTATACATCTATTGCACATAGCAACTTCAACATTTCACATTGGAACTTCAAGGATATTTAAGAATAACTTGATTGCTAACTATATGAATTAACCAAAATGTTTTACCGAAATTTTCAATAAATACAATATCTGACCGGTAGGAATAATTGGCCAAAAAAGACACCTCAAGTATTTTAATCGGTTAGCTGCAAAAGAAGATTGCTTAACAATTGCAAAATTTAAGGACCAAAGTTAATTAGAACTCGAGGAAAAGAACACTTTGTATTAAATAACATTTAAATCTCATTTCCATGTTCTTTAATTCACTAACCAAGATGCAGACAAGCATTGTTTTTCCCAAAAAGACAATATCTGATTAGTAATATTTTTCGAACAAATCTACTAATTTACTATATTGACCCGAGGTTGCAAAAAATTATGGTCCAAGACCCAGCAAATTATGTGTTCCCAGTCATGGAAAAAAAGTCATAGACCAAATTATATGTATCATAATTCAAATCCTAATAAAACAACTTAGGCATGACCCCATCTTCTTCTTCTTCTTCTTTTTCTTCTTCTCCTTTTTGTGCTGCCAGATCAAACGTAACATCATTCGAATTAAAATGCATGGTAAATACGTCCAAATATCTTAATGTTTGTTTTGTATTACCAGGTCATGAATGTTTATAGAATTCTCGTATTGTTGCCTTAGGAGTTCTCGCTCGTGACCAAGGCTGTGTCGAGCCATAAGCTCATTTTTGTGCATCCTTCTATTGGCACGAGCTTGCGAGAATACGACCGAGTAATTTGTTTCACTCTTCCCATCCCATGCTCCAAACTGAGGCACAGACATACGCTTTCTCTGCATCACCACCACACCAGAAAAACACGTTTATGTGAATTAATAAAAAGTGAAATTGTATTTTTAGTCCTGCTGGTCTAACGCTATAGTAATTTTAGTCTCAATGTTCCAACATCTTGCATTTTGATCATGTGATTTAATATTTTGCTGCAATTTCAATTCTTTGAGGACTAAAATTGTAGACTTAAATTGCAAATCGAAAATCTGAAATTTGTTGCAATTTCAGTCCTCAAATGACTGAAATTGCATCAAAATATTAAATTACATGATCAAAAGGCAAAAAGTTGGAATCTTAGAACTAAATAGGACTAAAAATGCATTTTTGCGTCAATAAATTGATCTGACAATCTATATCAAATTTTTGGTTAAATGTCTAGAATTGAGAAACAGACATACAATTTCTTCTGCATCTTCACCATACCATTAAAAAATATCTACATGAATAAATAAATTGGTCCAACCAGGTGTAATAATATCTTGGTTAAATGCTCCAAATTGAGACACAGAAATACAGTTTCTCTGTATCATTGTCCTACGAAGTATAATAAGTTTCTGGTCAAATCCTCGATTTTGGTCGTTTAGATATTGAGGTTGTGGTTTAGCCTCTATAATATTGGACTGGTGCACTTAATCTTGAAATGGAATTTCCTCATAAGAAAAACTCAGACGTATTTATGCTAATCAACATGCAAAATCATTTGAAGATGTCTGCAGGTAAAATTGGTGCACATTTAACTAGGATTGATACATATATTAGGCATGTCAAGTTCTAATTTCGTAGTAAATAGCCAGTTTTTGCCAGAAAACTACGGTTGACACTCGTAGTAGATGGCAAAAAAAATCCAATTTAGTCTTATATTATTCAATAAAGGATGTAATGCCAAAGAAAAATGAGGATGCACACACATCAATGTGTACAATTTTACAAAATATGAAATTTAGCAAAATGCTAAATGATGAATATTTTTTTTTTCATATGTACCTGTTCATTAAATTACATAAAATGAACAAAGCACTTGCATTGTCACATATATATCAGCTAAATAACTATTGGAAAATGCAGCAAAATGCAAATAACTTTATTCATATTTTTCGGAAAATTTTGAAATATTCACATGATAAACATCCAGAAAATTACAAATACCTTCCAAGATTATTTTTAAGAGAACTATATATATATATATATATATAAAGGAAGTAGGTGCATTGACTGACTTACCCCCCTGTACTCTTCCATTGAGAAAAATGGTAGAAAAGAAAGGGTGGAAAAAACTGGAGGTCTGATGCAAAATTTTTCGTACACTCCAAGTGCGGATTTTAAAGGGAAAAAATGGGTTTGAAAATTGTTTGCGTTTCCCATCAGTAATTAATTAAGAATAATAAAAGGATTTTAAACCATCCAATTCTGTGAAGGGTGCTGCTTGAAATGTGAGAAGGGAAAGATCATCACCATCTTCAACTGCCTACCTAGACTTGCGGCCCTTAAATCTCTCTTTGTCCTAACTTTGTTCAAATTGTCATAACTTACTGGATATTAAAAAAAAAATACCTTTTAAAAAAACATAATATTTCTCATTTTTCCAACCTCAATTTTACTCTTACTTTCTTTAAATATATATCAATCGTTACAAAACAACTTACTATAAAAAAGTGAGACATTATTTTCAAATACTGTAGGTTTAAAAATAGTCAGATAACTACGGCCGCAATTGGAAATGAATTAACGATTTTAATCCGTTTTGACTGATTGAGTTATTTTATACTAACCAAAATTCAATCTAACTCAATGCTATTACTTTTTACAATATAATTAAATAACATCAATCAATCATTTTCATACATTAATTTTAATTCTTTATTTATTTACTTATATAATTTTTTTTTTCCACTTGCATAATTTAACTACTATTGAGATTGACAAATAAATCAAAGAACAAAATGTAAAGAACACTATGAAACGAAAACAGAATAAGGACTGACGATTTTGTCATAGAACACAAGAAGGTGAAAGTGAAAAGTAATTAGGGTTTGTGTACAGGATATTGCTATTTATACTTACCCTATAAACAGCCCTAAATAAAATAGGCAACATATAATAACAACTTATTAAACAACACTTTTACAAATGACACTTTTATTAAATGAAGTAACAACTCTAAGTCTAATATCCCTCCGCAAGCTAAGCATGAATATTGGACATGTTTAGCTTGGACTCCAAATATGAAAATGCAGGTCCAGATAAGGGCTTTGTGAGAATATCTGCTGCCTGCTCCTTTGTGGAGATGTACTGCAGCTTGATCACCTTCTGGATGAGCTTCTCTCTAATGAGATGCCAGTCAATCTAAATGTGCTTTGTTCTTTCATGGAACACCGGATTGGAGGCAATGGCAATGGCAGATTTACTGTCACAAAAAATAACAACTGGGGAGGGATGGATTAAGTGCAGATCTGTAAATAAATTTTCTATCTCACATGAAGTGGATGCAAGGGCTTTGTATTCAGCTTCTGCTGAAGATCTACTAATAGTAGATTGTTTCTTGGATTTCCAGGAGATAAGGGAATTACCAAGAAAAACACTATAACCAGTTAAGCTTTTCCTAGTATCCAAACATCCTGCCCAATCACTGTCATTATAAGCATGTAATTCAAGTTTTGAAAGTCTGGAAAAGAACAATCCTTTACCTACAGTACCCTTAATGTACCTAAGTACTCTATGGGCAGCTGTGAGGTGATCTTTTGAAGGATTAGACATGAATTGGCTAAGGATGTGGACACTATAAGCTAAATCAGGCTTAGTTATAGTTAAGTATAAGAGCCTACCTACCAACCTTCTGTATTCTGAAGCATCTGTGGACTCTGTTGTTTCAGAATGTGAACTGAGTTTTAAAGTAGAATCCATGGGGGTTGTGGCAGGTTTACAACCAAGGAAACTTGTGTCTTTTAAAATATCTAGGGCATATTTTCTGTTAATATCCGAGTCCGACTCCTACGAGGATACCGGTGTGAGAGACTCGGAAACCGGGTGAGGCCGACCCGGTTAAGGAGGTCGGGTACCGCGACGATAAGCAAGTGCCGAGCTGAGTAGAAGTCAAAGTCAATTGTGATAACGGTCAGAGTTGGACTCGGGGTCGGCACCTAGCTTCCCCATTCGAGAGGTCGGCACCATGACTCCCAGTCGCGAGGCTGACCTGGCTCAGTGCCGAAATCGATAAGGAACCGCAGACGTCGAAAGACGAGCTACTATAGTCCGGCTGGGATCACACCAGGTCGGCCCCCGAAGGGGTTAGGGACACAAAACAATAAAATATGGCCACTTGTCAACTAATGATTGTCGATGGGACACCCCAGAAGCATGCCCGCATTAAATGCAGCCCACACCAGCATTAAATGCGTTGCAGGTAATGATTGGAAGACCCGGAAATCACTCACAATCAGTCAGAGAAACGCCGGCCTATCCCGCCGAACTACTGTACGACAAGACCGGTGAACAGTACCTGAACAGTGCCGCATTAAAGAGCACTATAAATAGCAACCCCTTCATTTATTTTTGGGTTGTTGAATCCCAACGGTCAAAACTCTCTCTACATTTTCTCTCTCTAGACTTGTAAGAAATTCGCGTAAGAATCTGTAAGTATATCGCAAGTGTCGACCTCGTACGGGAGGCCGGCCTCGTGATCCTTTAATAAAACCATAATTAAACCGCATCTTCTCGTCTTTTTCTCGTTATCTTCTCATTATTTACCTTTTTAACCGTTGACCGGAAACGTCCGTCAACAGTTTGGCGCTAGAAGGAGGGCACCATAAGTTACTTGGTGTCAATTTTTCGATCTTGTGAAGCTCCACATCGAAATCATCTTTTCCCACTTCTTCACTTCCAAAAACTACTCAAAATGCCTTCATCCGACCATGATGACTCCACCCAGCAGTCCGGCTCCCATCCTCGCAGACGCAACGGCGGGGAGACCTCTCGTCATGCTCAGCAGGGACCCATAGTCCCTGTCCAGCCAGTCCCGACGCCCTGTTGATCACTGCTCAGGGTGGTCTGAGACCGAAAACGCTGTTTAGGTGGTCCTTGTGTCAGAATAAGCCGACCACCTACCAGAAGTTCCTTACCCGCGCTCAGGATTACATAATGGCGGAGGAGTCCTCGTCCATCCCGACGTTTGATACCGCTGTTCGTTCCACTTTTGTCATGTTTTTCTTCTTTATTTCATGCTTGTTTTTCCTCTACTTAGGTATTTTTCTTTGGTTTTTGGTCCGTTTCGAGTCGTTTCGTGCATTTCCTTTATTTTAGTGGTTTTTGGTCTTTTTGTTCGTTTTTTCCCGGTTTTCCGTAATTCTTGTCGGTGGTGATGTGCAGGTTTGGTGGCTCGGTGCATGGCCATGCGAAGTTTACCATCTAGATGGATGAGTTGGGGTCGTGTTGGAGAAGACGGGAGTAAATTCCGAGTCCGGATGAGAGAAGATGAACCCGAAACCGACGTGCAGAAATTCTTCGCCGCGGCCGTGGAGAAGAGGAAGTCGCGGCCGCGAGATACCTAAAAATTCCAATTTCTAGCCCGGGGAGGTCGCGGCCGCGGAGACGGTCGCGGCCGCGAGATGTTCTTCACCACGGCCGCGGAGGGCTAAGTCGCGGCCGCGGAGGTCGCGACATCAGTATTTTTATGTTGCGATTTTTGTTCAGTTTTTCATTATCTCTTCAACTAGGTTTAGACTCTCTCTCGTTTTTATTCACTCCAGAACATTATTTCTCTTAGTTTTTCATAGGATTTGATCTTGGATTGTGAAAACACTAAGATTCGACTCTTGGATTTGGATTGCTCGTTGTGTCTTCAACATTGGATTCGTATTTATTGTAAGCTTTTCTCTTCTTTCAATGATGAGTGATATGTCTTTGCTTTATATGAATGTTGATGTTGGATTTGTGATGAGTAGCTAAATTCGTTAACTAGGGCTAGGGGATAATTGTTCCGATTCAATTTCGTTTGTATGAATGTTGATTGCTC